TGATGAAAGAAATCAATGATGACACAAATAGATGAAGAGATATACCATGTTCTTGGATTGGAAGAATCAATATTGTGAAAATGACTACCCAAAGCAATCTACAGATTCAATGCAATCCCTATCAAATTACCAATAGCATTTTTCACAGAACTAGAACAAAACATTTTACAATTTGTATGGAAACACAAAAGACCCCAAATAACAAAAGCAATCTTAAGGAAAAAAAAAAAAAACAGCTGGAAAAAGCAGGCTCCCTGATTTAAGGCTATTCTACAGGCTACAGTCATCAAGGCAGTACGGTACTGGCATAAAAACAGAAGTACAAATCAATGGAACAGGACAGAAACCCAGAGGTAAACACACCCACTTATGGTCACCTAATGATGACAAAGGAGGCCAGAATACACAGTGGAGTAAAGAGAGTCTCTTTAATAAATGGTGCTGGGAAAACTGGACAGCTACATGTAAAAGAATGAAATTAGAACACCCCCTAATACCAAACACAAATAAAAACTAAGAATGGACTAAAGGTCTAAATGTAAGGCCAGACTCTTTAAAAGTCTTACAGGAAAACATAGACAGAACACTCTTTGACATAAATTACAGCAAGATCTTTTTTTGACACATCTCCTAGAGTAATGAGAATGAAAACAAAAATAAACAAATGGGACCTAATTAAACTTAAAAGCTTTTGCACAACAAAGGAAACCATAAACACGATGAAAAGACAGCCCTCAGAATGGGAGAAAATATTTGCAAATGAAGTAACTGACAAAGGATCAATCTCCAAAATATACAAGCAGCTCATGCAGCTCAACAGCAAAACAAACAAACCAACCAATCAGAAAATGGCCAGAAGATCTAAATAGACATTTCTCTAAAGAAAACATAAAGATGGCCAACAAACACATGAAAAAATGCTCAACATCACTAATGATTAGAGAAATGCAAATGAAAACTACGGTGAGATATCACTTCATACTGGTTGGAATGGCTGTCGTCACAAAATCTACAAACAATAAATCACTGGAGAGGGTGTGGAGAAAAAGGAACCCTCTTGCACTGATGGTGGGAATGTAAATTGATACAGCCACTCTGGAGGACAGTTTGGACATTCCTTAAAAAACTGAAAACTACCACATGACCCAGGAATCCCACTACTGGCCATATACCCAGAGAAAAACATAATTCAAAAAGACATGCACCCCAGTGTTCATTGTAGTACTATTTACAATAGCCAAGACATGGAAGCAATCTAAATGTCCATCAACAAAAAGTGGACAAAGAAGACGTAATTTTATATATATACAATATGTATATTATATATATATATATATATATGTCAGTTCAGTTCAGTAACTCAGCTGTGTCTGACTCTCTTTGCGACCTCATGGACTGCAGCATGCCAGGCTTCCCTGTTCATCACCAACTCCCGGATCTTGCTCAAACTCATGTCCATTGAGTCAGTGATGCCACCCAACCATCTTATCCTCTGTCATCCTCTTCTCCTCCTGCCTTCAATCTTTCCCAGCATCAGGGTCTTTTCCAATGAGTTAGTTCTTCCCATCAGGTGGCCCAAAGTATTGGAGTTTCAGCTTCAGCATCAATCCTTCCAGTGAATATTCAGTACTGATCTCCTTTAAGATTGACTGGTTGGATCTCCTTTCAGTTCAAGGGACTCTCAAGAGTCTTCTCCAACACCACAGTTCAAAGCATCAGTTCACTGGCACTCAGCTTTCCTTATAGTCCAACTCTAACATCCATTCATGACCACTGGAAAAACCATAGTTTTGACTAGATGGACCTTTGTTGGCAAAGTAATGTCTTTGCTTTTTAATATGCTGTCTAGGTTGGTCATAGCTTTTCGTCCAAGGGGCAAGCATCTTTTAATTTCATGGCTGCAGTTACCATCTGCAGTGATTTTGAAGCCCAGGAAAATAAAGTCTGTCACTGTTTCCACTGTTTCCCCAACTATTTGCCATAAGTGATGGGGCCAGATGCCATGATCTTAGTTTTTTGAATGCTGACTTTTAAGACAACTTTTTCACTCTCTTATTTCACTTTCATCAAGAGGCTCTTTAGTTCTTTTCTACTTTCTGACATAAGGGTGGTGTCATCTGCATATCTGAGATTATTGATATTTTTCCCAGAAATCTTGATTCCAGCCTGTGCTTCATCCAGCCCAGCATTTTGCATGATGTACTCTGCATATAAGTTAAATAAGTAGGGTGACAATATACAGCCTTGATGTACTCCTTTACCAATTTGGGACCAGTCTGTTATTCCATGTCCAATTCTAACTGCTGCTTCTTGACCTGCATACAGATTTCTCAGGAGGCAGGTGAGATGGTCTGATAACCCCATCTATTTAAGAATTTTCCACAGTTTGTTGTGATCCACACAGTCAAAGGCTTTGGCGTAGTCAATAAAGCAGAAGTAGATGCTTTTTGGGAACTCTTTTGCTTTTTCAAAGATCCAACAGATGTTGGCAATTTGATCTCTGGTTCCTCTGCCTTTTCTAAATCCAGCTTGAACATCTGAAAGTTCATGGTTCACGTACTGTTGAAGCCTGGCTTGGAGAATTTTGAGCGTTACTTTGCTAGTGTGTGGGATGAGTGCAACTGTGCAGTAGTTTGAACATTTTTTGGCATTGCCAAAGAATACATATGTGTGTGTGTATGTGTGTGTGTGTACATACACACACAATGGAATATTACCCAGCCATAAAAAGGAATGAAACTGAGTCACTTTTAGAGATGTGGATGGACTTATTATAGACTGTTTTACAGAGTGAAGTAAGTCAGACAGAGGAAAACAAATACTGTATATTAACACATATATGTGGAACCTGAAAAAATTGGTATAGATGATCTTATTTATGAAGCAGAAATAGAGACACAGATGTAGACAACAAATGCATGGATAACAAGGAGGCAAAGGGAGATGGATGAACTAGAAGATTGGGATTGACATATATACACTACTGATACTATGTAATATAAGATAGATAACTAGTGGGAACCTTCTGTATTGCACAGGGAGTTTTACTGAACATTCTGTAGTGACCTACATGTGCAAGAAATACAAAAGAGAGGAGATACATGTATATGCATAACTGATTCATTTGCTGTACAATAGAGATCTACACAACAATGTAAAGCATCTCTACTCCAATAAAAATTTTAAAATAAAATTAAAAATTGTATATGCATACAATATAATATTATTTGGCCATTAAAAAGAAGGAAATTCTGCAATACATGACAACATGGATGAACCTTAAAGATATTAATTATGCTAAGTGAAATATCCAAGAAAGAAAAACTGCTGCATGATTTCACCTGTATGAGGTATCTAAATTAGTTAAATTTATAGAAATAAAGAATGGACTAAAGAGTGGTGACTAAGGGCTGGAGGGAGGGAGAAATGGGCAGTTAATAATCAATAGGCATAAGATTCATTTAAGCAAGATGAATAAGTTCTAGAGATCTGCTGTACAACACTGTCCCTCTACTACACACTTAAAATTTGAACTTTTATATTGCTGTGACTGCATACTTTAAAACTTAAAAAAAAAAACTTCAGAGGTAGGTCTCATGTTAAGTGTTCCTACCACAGTAAAATAGAAAATTTCAGGTCTGAGTGGAAGGAAGAAATGATGAGGCCAGTGACAGAAATAGTTGTTTTTGAGGTGAAGCAATGAGAGGGAGGCTCTGACAGGACAGCCAACTAAAAGTATCTTTATATCAGCTGAGCAAAACTGATTAGAGATGAAGATAAAAATAAAACTTAGACAAAGAAAAATGCGAAGCCAAGGGCAATTCACCAAAGTAAAAAGTTCAAAGAATCAGCTCAGGGACCAAGAATCAAGCCTTTAGAAAAACTTAAAGAGTGACAGGATGAAAGGAAACAGTGAAATAAGGTGATCATTAGAGGAGGCTGAACAAGAAAGAACGGTGTCACTAAGTCACATGAGAAGCAAATTTCAAGAAATGGTTAACTATGTCAAAGCCAACGGGAATTGAGAAAAGACCACTGGGAAGGAAACTAAGACATCCCAAACAGATGAGAAGCCTAGCCTGACCTTCCTTACCTGGGTAACAAACATTGTGAACCATGCTGATGGTCTCTCCTCAAGGTTAAGAAGGTCAAGAGACCTGAGCAGGGCTGATTTTTCCATCTTCCTGTTGCTTTCTCTTCTATTCCTGGGAAAAGCATAGAAAACGGAGCTTATTTTGTTTGCCATGAAGCTCATGTCCACTTAACTCCTACCTAAAGGGCAGGCAGGTCAGAAGTTACAGGCTAAAAAACTAAAAGTATTTGCAAAACTGTAGTTTAATCATTATTCATGAGCAACAACAAAAACAAATGGAGGAGGACCGGCAGTGTACTTCAGTCAGCTTCCAACTCAAATGATGTGAGCGGTGTAGTGTGACTGAAGATTGTGCAAGTGAGAATGAGGAGCCGTCTGTTGTTTTCTGTCTTTACTGCAGTAGCAAGTTATCAAACATCAATAACTAACGTTTAACGACATGTCTTCTCCTGTGTTGGTCTTTTAATCTGTCCTTGAATTTGACTGGTTTGGGGTCTTTTGGGGTGGGTATGTCTATCTATCCATTTGGAAGAACAGGAAATGGACTTGAACATGAGGGATGAGGTTTTAGCTTTTATTAGTCGAAATAATGTATGGAATCTATGGAATAATTTTTTAATCTTGGGTCCATGAAACTTTTATTAAAGATGAGAAATGTATGTGGTGACAGATTTAGGAAGGTTAGATCATGTCGGACAAACCACTTACTGAAGGACATTTTCTATTCCAGAATTATTTAAAAATAAAATTCCAAATCATTGAAGGAGTTTGAAACTAAATGTAGGTTGGTTTGTTTTTTAATAGTACATAAACTACACTCCCAGGAAGCCATGCGGGCGAGTCGCTGCGCTTGTCAAGTAGCTTTCGCCGCAAGGTACGCTGGGAAATGTAGTGCGCCAAGCGATGCTGCACGTGACACGCAGAGGTAGGCGAGGGGACCGCGCCAACCTGAGGCGGCTAGGCGCACGCCTCTCTTTCTGTGCGGTTAGGGGATGGCTCCCATCTCCTCCCCACGGTGAGGTGAAATAAGCTGGCCGTGTTCCGTCGCCCGCCGGAGCAGCCCCGGGGAAGTCCGGTCGGGTAAGGCATCGTGGTTCCTCGCCCCTTTTCTCGGCAGCCGGGCGGGCAGGGGAAGAAGGTAACAGCCGTGGGCTCGGAGCCTGCGCCCTGCGCCCCGCCCAGGCTGCGGCCGCGCGGGGAGGAAGCGCGTCTAGTTAAGCGCAAAGTTTCCTTTTTTGTTTTGGTTTTTTTTTGCTTTCTCTTCAGAGTCGCCCTAACGGGCCGTGGGGCGGGTATGCCACACTTCAGTTTGAGCGGGGGTCCCGAGACTAAAGGGTGAAAATAAGCGAGCCCCCCACTCCCCGCCTCCGTAAAGCGTCCATCCCGCTAGCCATGAGCAGCCGCGACCACCTGTTCAAAGTGTTGGTGGTGGGGGACGCCGCGGTGGGCAAGACGTCCCTGGTGCAGCGATATTCCCAGGACAGCTTCAGCAAACACTACAAGTCCACGGTGGGAGGTGAGACACTGCGGGGAGCGGCCGGGGTCCTGCGACTCCAGCCGCGGACTGGAGTGGGCTGGGGGCCGGGGATTTTGCGGTCTTTAGGTCCTTCCCCGGGCTCGGAAGGAGCTGTCTGGGACCCTGGTGTTTGATGTGCATGCCTCTTGGGGGTTTTTCCAGTTAAGTTTTCCCAGTCAGAGCTGACTGTCTCGAGAGAGAAAGGCAAAGATGTGACGGTAGGAAATGGGGAAGGGTGGGTGAGCAAATGAGCAGTTGCTGCGTTTCGCTGGGGAACTGTGAACTCAAGTCTCCAGCCTTCCTAGCGGTCACCGGCAAATCTCTGCGACAAGCGGACGCCGCTGAGACCTTCTGGAGAACCTAGTTAGGTACCAGCTGGGGCTGCCTGTTCTGCCTTTCACGAGAGTTACAGACAGCTGTTGAAGGAACAAGGAACTCGAGGAACCTGGCCTCAAGGAGCCTGGCTTTGTTATGGAGATGCCTGCCTGGGCGAGCCCCTCGGACACTCAGTCAGATACTGATGAGCTGTGTGCTTTTTGTCCATTGATTGTTTAAATAAAGACAACCTATTCCTGGTGTAAAATATACCACTTTTCTGACCCCTTTTTCTCTCAGACTGGGGAGGCCAAGGACAGGGGACACCAGGGGTTAATTCACTTCTTTCCAGGTGTGGCCTTTGGACTCATCTTTCCAGAAGTAGAAGAATGCCTTTTAATTAAAAGTTTAGCTGGGGAGAGCTGGTGAAGAGGGAAAGTAACAAACATTTATTTATCTCCATTAAAAGAACTTTTGTAAAACAAATTTTGAAAATGTACACTAGTGTTCATTATGGAATTTTTAAAAATTAACATGCAATTACATTGCCCTAAAAAAAAAAAAAAAAAAAATTAACATGCAATTACATTGCAACTAAGACATCTTCCTTAAGAACATCCATTAAAATGAAGGGTTTTAAGTTTCAAACAAATTAAAAAAAAAAAAAAGTAGCATGAGGGCCCCTAATTCATGGATTTGGTTTAAAAGTATCCCACTAATTTTTAGCAATTGCTCTAGTTTTTCTATAGTAAAGAATATAATTGACTGGCTGTTTTTTTCAGTGTTTATTCTAAATTTCCCCTAGCTTTCATTTCTGTCATAGATGTGAAGAAATATATTTCCAAACATCAGAAATTATCCTGTTTCTGTCTTTGTCAAAAGCTCTTCCCCCTTGGCCTTAACTCACAGAGTCTCAGCATCTACAGATGTGACAGTAGCTTCCAGCACAGCTCTTAAGCATCAACCATGGGGTGAATCCTCTGGGACCTTTTCACTTTATCTCATTCCTGCCCAGGATAATTCCTACAGCCTTATGAAGGATGTAGAATTCCCCCCAAGGGTGTGATTTTCTCATAATACAATTGGATAAGAAACCAACAGTGAAACTGAGTGTGGAAGATGCAAAGGCCAACACACTTACCTCATTTCCCTCTTCTACCTCATCATCCCTTCCCTGAGTAAGCCCCCTAAATCTTCCAAAAACTGTTTAACCTGAGATAAGGAGTTGTTTTTGTAATTACTCTCACCTAATATTCTCCAATTGAGTTTTCTCAGCCTGAGCCAACTGTCTGAAAAGAGATTAGGCAATATTAGTAGGATCAAATAATTGGTTTGACAAGAGTAAAAGCCAGGGATGCCTTCAGAAGATGCATGTGAATTATATATGTCCCATAGTTAGTACATGGGTGTGGTCCATTGAGGGCTTAAAATAACCAAATAAACAAACAATGAATGAATGAATGTGATTGGAGTTGTGTGTCCCTAGGGTTGTATATGCATATTTGATATGACTTTGTGGACTTTTTAAAGGTAAACTTTATTCAAGTACATTATACATATATTTTCAGTGGACTTTGCTCTGAAGGTTCTCCAGTGGTCTGACTCAGAGATGGTGCGCCTCCAGCTGTGGGATATTGCAGGTAGGATGGGAAGATGGGACAAGAACAAGGGGAGATATTTTGGTTTAACCAACAAGCTTTCAGAGAAAAAGTAGAACCAAAAGTTTTTTTCTGAAGCTGGAATGATCAGACTACTCCGAGGACATGTAAGCTGAATAGATGTAGAACTTTTGTAGATGTGTTCTGTAAATGTTTTACCCTGAATAAATATAGAGCAGTCTCTGTGTGAGTGGAAGGGGCTGGTGAGGTAGTGAACTATGAAGACCATAGGTGGATGCTCCCACATCAGGCAGAGGGTGCTCTTTCTAAGGTTTCCAGCTGACCTTGGTGAGAAACAAGAGAAGACAATAATAATAGCTAGACAGTGTATTAAAAAGCAGAGACATCACTTCGCCAACAAAGGTCTGTCTAGTCAAAGCTATGGTTTTTCCAATAGTCATGTACAGATGTGAGAGCTGGACCATAAAGAAGGCTGAGCGCTGAAGAACTGATGCTTTCAAATTGTGGTGCTGGAGAAGACTCTTGAGAGTCCCTTGGACTGCAAGGAGATCAAACCAGTCAATCATAAAGGAAATCAACCCTAAATATTCATTGGAAGGACTGATGCTGAAGCTCCAATACTTTTGTCCATCTGATATGAAGAGTGGACTGACTGGAAAAGACCTTGATGCTGGGAAAGATTGAAGTCAGAAAGAGAAGGGGACAACAGAGGATGAGATGGTTGGATGGCATCAGAGTCAATGGACATGAGTTTGAGCAAACTCTGGGAGATAGTGAAGGACAGGGAATCCTGGCATGCTGCAGTCCATGGGGTCACAGAGAGTTGAACACAACTGAGTGGCTGAACAACAACAACCCTTATTTATTATTTGCTAATCACTTTTCTAAGCGTTTTAGATTCACTGACTCATTAATCTTTACAACTAGCCTATAGTAAAAAGCCACTGCTTTCCCCCACTTTACAGAGGAGCAATCTGAAGCACTGAAACCTTGACTTATCCAAAGTCATATAGGTAGTAGATGACAGAGCAGGAATTTGGAAGTGGATGATCTGGGTACAGAATCTGGACTCACCCACTCCTCATACTGCCCTCTTTCCCTTAATGAAGATGGAAAGGGCAGGGTGTCAGACAGGGTCCCCAAGCTGGTTCTGAGGATCACCTTCTCAAGAACTGTCTTACTTCCCAGGGCAGGAGCGCTTCACCTCTATGACCCGACTTTACTATCGGGATGCCTCTGCCTGTGTTATTATGTTTGATGTTACCAATGCCACTACCTTCAGAAACAGCCAGAAATGGAAGCAAGACTTGGACAGCAAGCTCACACTGCCCAATGGAGAGCCGGTGCCCTGCCTGCTCTTAGCCAACAAGGTATGTGGTCAGCTTGGGAAATGGCCCCTGGCTTCAGTCTGTGGTCAGAGAGTAAGTGGATCTAAAATGCACTCTGATTCTAGGTTTCCACTTGCCCTTCTCATGCTGGCAAAATCTTCTCTACCTCTTTTCAAGAGATGTTGAAACTTTCTTTGAGAAGAACGTTGACTGTAGATTTCTGATGCTGCTGTTCTAGCCATTGGGGGAACTATTTCAAATCCACATGTATCTGAGCAATGTTCCTATTCCTAGGAGGTTTATGGTGTTGCCTTTATTTTCTTTGCCAGTGTGATCTATCCCCCTGGGCAGTGAGCCGAGACCAGGTTGACCGGTTCAGTAAAGAGCATGGTTTCACAGGTTGGACAGAAACCTCAGTCAAGGAGAACAAAAATATTAATGAGGCCATGAGGTGAGTAGCTTATGCTGTTCTAGGGACAGGCATACAGGTTTACCCATCTTTCACTGCAGCATCTTGGACCTTCTTGTTTCTGAGCAAACAAGAACAGACTGAGCCAATGGAATGCCAGCTTCTGAAGGCCAGGGATACTCTCTTCTCTCCTGAGATAATTGGGGAAAATGAGGCATTTAAACCTTGTGGCTTTACTGAATGCCATCTGGTGACGAAACAGACAATATCTGCCCTTTCTCCATTCAGTTTCTCAGGCTTATTTTTTATTTGATTTTTAGAGTCCTCATTGAAAAGATGATGAGCAATTCCAGAGAAGATATGTCTTTGTCCACTCAGGGGAACTACATCAACCTGCAAACCAAGCCCTCCTCCAGCTGGGCCTGCTGCTAGTAGCATTTGGCTTGTTTTCCCTCTCAGCTCCAGGAAGTCTTTCTCTTCCCTTTGGTTGCCCACCCAACAGTTTTACTAAGTACATTTGACCTGTCTGCTGGTGACTGTCTGGTAAGGAGAGCCATCATCACTAAGAAGAGATGCGTGGGACCCATCGGCATTTCTGCCTCTTGCTTGCTGCTGGCTTAGAGAGACCAGTCAGTGTCTTCTGTCCAAACAAGATCATCTCATCCCTCAGTTTGTGATCTGGGATTGATTTTGTGGGAAGGATTAGAAATTAGCATCTGTGTTTCAAGAAGCATAATTCTCACCTGCTTTTGAGTGTATTTTTCCATTCAATGTATATTGATATCCCAGTCTGATAGGACTTCAGTTACAAGGAAAGTGAGATCAAAGCTCATTTCCCAAATTCCTTGTTGGCCATTGCTTTCAGATTCTTTCTGTTTTGCCTTCGAATTAAACATCTGATTCCGAGATGCAGGAGGAGTGGGGCCAGATAATATGGGTTTAGGGCTACTGGAGGCCCTAAACGAAAAGTCACTGTATTTTTTTTTAAGATTCTAAAGTTGTATTAGCTTTCTCTTGTCTTGGCTCTAAAAATAGCCAAGCTTTTAAATGAACTCTTTGGTGAGAGCATTTCTTTCTCCAAAGAAATTGATTCTCACATTAATGTTTTCTAGTGTCTTTTTCCCAGTGGACTGGGGACCAGGTTTGCAGGTTTCTGGGTTGATGTCTTGCTGCATAATGCTGCAAGTGACATCAGTTGGCTATGGTGCCCTAAAATAGGTCTGTTCCTCAAAGCTCTGGGAGTCTGAGTGGAAAAAGAGGGAGAGGTTAACAGAACAAAATCCTGTGGGGCAACTTGCTTATGAGCACTTTTGTGGCTAGCACTTAACAGCCATAGGAAATAAATATTATGCATAGAACTTTGCCTAGAGGTGGAAAGTAGACAGACAGAAAATCATTAGGTAATTTAAGTGCTAAATTGGGTAGAGTTTTTAGTATCCAATCACTTCTAGACAGTCTAATTTGTTAAATTCTCACAGGATGGTGATTTATAACCTACCTAGAGTTATGAATATTCTTAGTGAGCTCAGACTTAGAGCTCTGTGAGAGACATTAGCTAAATAAGTGTTCTAAGTCTGTGGTCCCCACATCTGATCAAAACCACCTGGAAAGTTTGTTTAAAGATTTTAAAATAAAATGTTTTAAGATCAGTTTCCCAATCTGACCTACTAAATCAAAATGTCCAGGAGTGAAACCTGGGGATTCACTGTTGTTATTTTCAAAACTTCCCAGGCAATTCTGATCAGGCCAGTTTGGAAACCACAGCTGGAGAATGTGGTAAAAATGCAGAGATCCAGGCCTTCCCAATGAAATGTCCCTGGGCTTCTGTAGGCTCCGTTAGTTCTCTAGGTGATTTTGACACACACCAGACTGGGGCTTCCCAGGTGGCACTAGAGGTAAAGAACCCGCCTGCCAGTGCACTAGACATAAGAGATGAGGGTTGGATCCCTGGGTCAGGAAGAACCCCTAGAGGAGAAAATGACAACCCACTCCAGTATTCTTGCCTAGAGAATCTCATGGACGAGGAACCTGATGGGCTACAGTCCATAGGGTTGCACAGTCTGACATGACTGAAGTGACTTAGCACGCATGCGTGCAGACTGAAAACCACTCTCCTAAGAAATCAGAAGCCAGATATCAGAGCCTTTGATGGTTTGTTTTTAATGCCAGTTGTTATAAATTTTGCACAGTCTTTTTAGACCTTCAAGTTCTCTTTTGTATTTCCCATTCCAGATAGAGTTTTTATTACAATGATTCTGAAAGTAACAGTGGAAGAACAAGTTCTCTGTGAAAAGAAAATTGATTTTTATTCACTGATTTGAACCCCTGCACAATCACAAATAAATGGGAAATAAGTGTTGTATTCATGGTAGTTATTGACCTTCAATATGAGTTTGTTTAAGTGTTATTTTATACTGATAAGAGTATTCTGGAAATGGAGACTTTTTAAAATACCTTCTTTAAAATGAAGGTAAGTGTTATTCTGTTCATCTGTTAATTTACTAGTACCAGTTGCCTTGTTCCAATTCAGTGATGTAACTTCTCAAATACTGCTTGGAAATGTGACCATTTAAAAAAAAAATTGAATATGTTTTCTTTTCCCACTTGCTGACTCAGGATATTTCTGCCTTTTCAAGCATTGCTAGAAGCTGGCCTACCAGCCCTTCTGGATTTTCTCTCCCAACTGGTGAACATTATGGCCCTGAAACCAATTAAGAAGAAAGTGAAATATAATTCCTCTCCATATCCCTATCTGTAAAGAAAAGAGAAAGAAAAAGATAAGGAAGAAAAAATATTTACATGATCAGAAATGTGATTATATTAAAAATAATTAGATCTTATCATTTGGATGCTACCTCTTGGGTAAAACTGTTTGGAACATGGATATCATTGTAGCCCTTCCCTAGAGAAATTTCCATATTTGAGACAAGATTCCCCTTCACTTATCCAGCTAGTCTGTGGCCAAGAAGAAAACATAAGCATTCCCTGCAGAGTGGTCTAAGAGATATGAGGAAGGGCTGAGAACAGAGCTGTGAGGCTGTGACTGCCCTGGCTTGCTATTTTGAACAGAATAGCTGAGTGATCAAACAAGCTGGGAAAGGAACCACAGGTCACGGAAGGCCCCTCAGCAGCAAGTGATGGTGTGCTCTTCTGTGCTATATAATGAGCCAGGGTTGCTCTGAGATGATTTCTCTAACTCACTTAGCAATAGCTGAGGACTATTTGAGTTCTTCATTTTCCCCCTTATCTCCAGATTTAACTCTTTTCCTTAGCTGGTCTGTATTCTGTCCTCAGAACACTGTCCCATCTAACAGAAGGCTCTTCCTGCCTTTTATACTTTTGTAGGCAGTGGCCAAGGTTAGCAGATGTAAAAATTTCCATGATATTCTGTACAATCCAGTGATTAGATTGCTCAAGGAAATAAACTTAAGTGCCCTTTTCTCCTTCACCCCCTTGGTTCACTATGTATAGGAAGAGGCCCCAGCTGTGTACATGACTCATTTATTAAAGGCAAATACCCCCCTGCTGCAAATTGGAATAGGTAGAAAGCCAGTCAAAAATGTGCATTGGAAAGAACTCTACATGTATTTTTGACTTGAGAATATATCTACGCATGATCTTTGTTGTTGTTAGAAAAACCCTGCCCTCTCTTTGGCTTTCAAGTGTAATCTGAATTCTGTTGTTTTATCTGCAGTTTTAGTATAATAATGGTATTGTTTTGCTTTAGGTTTCTCCAGGGAGATAGAAGTAGTAAGATACAGATATGTATGTATGTATGTATATGAATATGTGTGTGTATATATGTAAGGGATTTATTATAAGAATTTGTCTCGTGTGATTATGGAGGCTGGCCAGCCTGAACCTGTGGAGCTGATGCCCCAGTTCAAGTCCCCAGACTGGAAGAGCTGATGTTCCTGTTCAGAGGCCTTCAGGAGAATTCTCTGCTACTCAGGATGGGGCGTCAACCTTTTCTTCTGTTCAGGTCTTCAACTGACTGGATGAGCCCTACCTACATTAGAGAAAGCAATCTGCCTTATGGCATCTACCAATGTAAGTGTTAATCTCATCCCAAAACACGCTCACAGAAACACCCAGAATAATGGTAACCAAATATCTGGGTACACCCATGTTCCAGTCAAATTGACACACAAAATTAACCATTACTTGCACTTAACAGTTCTTTACTATATAATGGTACTGTTTTGATAACTTTCTTCACACTCAAATTGATTTACACTTATCTGATTAGGAACTAACCTACTACTAATGGGAGTAAAGAGGAAAAGCAGATATGAAAGGAAGAAAATAAGATTGACATTTTATGATTTATCATGACATGAGATGGGCGGTCCAGTAGTACTGGATACCAGTATCTGACTGTGTAAACTCTTCCCTCAGATCTGTGAGTTTTGCATGTTTCATATACTACCGTAGAAATAAGAAAGCAAACAGTTCTCATTTTATATTTGAGGGAACAAATATCTCAAAATTTGACTAATGAAAGGCAGCCATTTGAATCTGTAATAAAGCCAAGACATAACTGCAGATCTTCAAATTCCCCATCCCCATTCTATGATTTAGGTTTCTGGGAAGCATTTGACCTGAAAAACCTATTTTATTAATAGAATATGAGCCCAGACATTTAGAGAAGCAGAACTGGCTCTTGGGTTGGAAATTTAGTTTGTATTAGACTTTGAGATCATGTTCAGAGACATGTGTAATTAAACTTGGGGCCAAGTTTAGTGCTGTTTGAATAGCACGCAGCACAGATATGTCCTGAGATGTTTGACAAGTTCCAATGACTAAGATAATGTCACCCAAATGCAGTGACTGTCATTTAATTTTGAACATCAGCTTTCTTATTTGCAAATACAGAAATTTTAAAAAGTTATTCTTTTCCATTATAGTTTATCACAAGACACTGAATAGTTTCCTATACTATACAGTAAGACCTTGTTGTTTATTTTATATATGCAAGTACAGGGATTTTATGCTCAAAATTCTCCAAGCCAGGCTTCAGCAATACGTGAACTGTGAACTTCCAGATGTTCAAGCTGGTTTTAGACAAGGCAGAGGATCCAGAGATCAAATTGCCAACATCCGCTGGATTATTGAAAAAGCAAGAGAGTTCCAGAAAAACATCTATTTCTGCTTTATTGACTACGCCAAAGCCTTTGACTGTGTGGATCACAATAAACTGTGGAAAATTCTGAAAGAGATGGGAATACCAGAACACCTGACCTGCCTCTTGAGAAACCT